TAAGATTTGAGTTGATCTCAATCTTCTTCTGTTGAAATAGCTCGTCTATTTCTGAATAGCAGAACCCTAATGACATAAGAAGTCATTATTAAAGAAGACACATTATTGAAGACATGTGGCCTTTCAATATGGAAAGGATTTGTTATTAAGAAAATGGTAAAGTACTATAAAAAAGAAATTAAAATGGAAAAATAGTATTTTTCAAGTTTTTTAGGGACCAAAACAATGAGAATTTTTTGATTTTGAACTTTCCAATTCCATGCAAATTGAAAACTTTTTGGATCCTATCCACAGTTTTTTTTTTTTGCTTTTGCAAACCACAGGGACCAATTATGCAGTTTTGTCTTTTTTTTTTTAAGATTAGTTGTATTAAAAGTTAGATACCGAAAAATAGATTATACTTTCATTTCATTCCATGATGAAATAAATAAATAAATAAAAACCAACCTAAAAATAACCAATTTTCTTCATTCCAAATAAAGGAGTCATTCCATTGATCATTTCTCATATCAAACACAACATTTGGCATATATTCTTTTGAAAGAATTGGAATTTATCAAGGAAATGTATTTGAGACTAAGATATTAGATACAAAATCAAAGCAACCTTAGTCATCATGTTAAATATGCTGAAAATATAATTCAAAAACAAAGGGTATACATAGTCATAAACAACTCTCAAGTTCTTATACTATTCTCAAAAGTGAAAAAGACTATCTCTCATCTCATATCATGATAACTGATGATAAAAACATTAACCTGACTCTAATCCAAAACCAGAAAGGATAAGAGAAACTTACAGTTTGCCATTTGATACAAGAACACATAGGCATGATCTCATCTCATTCAGTCATTCTTCAACAGTGATAAGTTCAAACTCAATAAGTGAAAGATTGCTGTCTTCCTTGACACTAAAAGCAGCTGCATCAGTAATTTCAACACGACCCCATTTGTCCACTGCAAGTCTCATTGACCCTTTGTACATATCAATCTTTGCATTCCTCAAAATCACACTGCTTCCCTCCTTCATAGCATCCACTGCCAATTGTGGATAAGAATCAAATTCCATACCAATATGTTAAGTGATATGATTCTCAAGATCAAAAAAAGAAAAAGATTAGATTTTTACCTTGATCATTTCTAGCAGTGAAGACAATAATTCCAGTTTCATCACCAACTAAACATTCAGCAAGACGCATGTTGTTGCGTCCTTGAGTCCCATTTCGACCTCCTCTTGTCATGATCATCTTTGAACTAACCACTTTTACAGTCAGGTTAAGACCAAAAGCACCAGGGCGAAGTTGGTCAATCTTAGTGAAAGCTGGTTGTTGCTTCGTTTGTTCAGCCATTTTCCCAACAAACCCTACAACAACAAACAAATCATCAATTCAGTTTCAACTTTCAACCTAACTATTGATTGTGGAAACAAGTACTAATGTACTATTAGTAATCGACATCATCAATTGAAAGATGTATGTATGGATACATGCATGAAGCATGAACTAGAAATCTAGAATTACAGCATTCTTTTCTAAATTTAAATGTAACAACCAAATCTTCTTCTTCTGTAATATGTATGTATATCATCACTACATAATAACAAGATTATGACTCTTGTTCGTATCAAAGTGCAATAGCAGACACAGGATAGCGATGAAACGTCAGATACAGCTTTACAAAAACAGATTTTTTGTTGACTTTTTCATGATCAGATTTAGGAGATAATGGAATAAGAATATTTGCAGCTTTAGGCATAACAATCGATTCAAAAGACCGTACACAAATACATGCATGAACTTCAAAACAAATTTAATTTGCTGTTTCAAACGAATTCAACTAGCAGCTTCAACCTCGTCGCTTTTTTAACTTGTGTAAGTCGATCACACAAGATCGGGACCCAATACCAACAGAATGTCAAGGGCGATCGACAACTCCATAGGAATTTGACGGAAAAAAAACAGTAAACTTAGCAATCATAAGTCGACTCTGATTGTACAAATTGCAAATTGGTAAATCATTGCAAGTCGATGAAATCTAATGCCTGTAATTGTACTATGAATCGATGGAAGAAAAGATCGACTGACCTGAGTTGCGAGTATGGATTTTCGTAGAACTTTTACGAGAAAGGGGGTGAAGATCTGTCTGGGGATCGAGATTAATGATCGTGCGAGTGCCAATCGCCTTTTATAATTAGGGTAAACGAACTGGGATCCCCAAATTTCACTTACCAAAAATAAATGCAATAATCTTTTTGATATTTTGTTTAAAACGAATATAATAAGCTTTCAATTTTATATTAACTTTCTATTATTGTCAATTCCTCTTATACAGTTTATTGTATCTATGATATTCCTCATTTGTGGGTAGTCTCTATGGAGAATTAGTGAATTAATTGTTTGGGACATATGTTTGAGAGTTGGTTGTCCATAGCAATGTCTCGGGTGTTTGGAAATGTTTTTTTGAACTCTAAAGTGTTTATTGGCTTATAGTGGTTGTAAAAAAGTTTTTTAAAAAGTATTTGGATTAACTTTTATGATGAAAAAACCAATAAATTAAAAAGTGTTTGGCTTAAAAAATATTTTTAAAGTTGTTTTGGTTAAAAAGCCAAAAACAGTTTCAAAAAACCAAGTTTTAAATGCTTTTTAAAAAGTGTTTTTTGAAGCTAAAGCTAAGCGGAGTGGAGGTCGTCACCGCCCTCGCTAGCGAGCTTGAAACACCGTCCCCTAGCACCCGCTAGGGGGTTGCTAAATGAAAGTCGCTAATTGCTTGGCGAGAGGAGAGAAGGAAGTTTGTTGGATCATGATTGGCTACATCCTCATTCAATGGATCCAACCAAATTTCATTTGAACAATCGATCCATTCAGAACTGGGTTCCAAGCGATATCGCCTTCAAAATCGCCTCATTGCTTCAGGTCTGTCGATTTCTTTCGCTTATCTTCTTCCTTTCATATCCCTAATTGTTCGATTTTTCAATATTTTGAGAAATTACGAATTGAGAATTGCATTCTGATTTTGGGAAATTTCTATGAATTCAATTTGGGGGTCTGAAGGAATTGGATTTGTGTGCGTAGGGTGGGTGCTCTCGGTTTTGACGGGAGCTTTGGGGATCTGATCATATATGGGTCGGTTTATGTAGAGACAAATGGATAGCCCTAGGTTTCGATAAAGAGCAATTTTCTTCTGTTCCCGAATTCAATCCCCATCAACTTTAGCAACAACATTTGGACTCTAATTTGAAGGTATATCCTTATTTTCTCTCTCCATAGATAGTCGTTTGTCTGACTGGAAATATGCTTGAATGTTTTTTCTTCCTCATACCGAGGGTTGATTAGGCTCTCTTCTACAGTGACAATTAAAGCATAAGTCTTTTGAGAAATTGGTAACTTAATGAGTTCTTAAAATGCAAACTCGTATTGTGCAAATGAAAGAAAAGTATGATGCTATATCAAACAAATGAAAGAAAGTATGTTGCTGTTTCTTGCATTTTCAACCTGGGGAGTTTCTATGTGTGAGTGTAGGGATGGAGGGGTTTTTATGTGAATAAACATCATGAAATGGTTAGTAAGGCGGATGCTATTATTGCCTTTTTTGAACAATGCATTTCATCAGAATCCGTTGAGGTTAACCATTATTTGGTTGCAATGCAAAAGATGAACTCAATGCAATTTGGGTTCAGAGACGCGGTGTTGTTCTTCTTCAAAGAAAATCTTCATGTCTTGCACAATTTGGCTGGTTTGCACTACTCTATTGCATGGCTTGGAGTGCCGGTATGCTTTCAATATCCAATCCTTTACAAATGGTAAATTGCTGGAAATAGCTATGTTTCAATTCTAATATGAATTGGGTTGTGTGGGGTTACTGGAAAAATAAACCTGTTATAGAAACATCACCAAATATATATTATTATATTTTTCAACGAAATATGGAAATATGTTGAATAAATGAGATTAATGGTATGGTTTGTAGGCGGATAATGTGATGGAAGCTTTAAATAGCTCGAAGATTTCCTAAATCCACATATAACCAAAAGATTTGGTTTGGCCTTCAAAAAATTTGATTGAGATGATATAAGTATTCAGGTTATGGAAATGTCGTCAGTTGGTGAAAACGAAAGGAAATTATGATTGATCAACAGTTTTGTGAAGCATGGGGCTATTTAGCTTAGTATTGTTTTGAAGGCATCAGTCCTTTGGTTATTTTTATTTCCATACTTTTATATCCATTTTAACTATCTTGAGGTATGATGTTAACAAAATTGTTATCGAATTGTAATTTAGTCGGTCATAAAAACTGATATTTTCTAACTGATATTTTCTAAACAATTCTTTGTATTTGTAAAGTATTCTTTGAATGTAATGGGAGATAGGAACCTACACGTTGTATCTCTGTTTTATTTTTATTATTTTATCTTATTTATACTTGTTAGATTTCTACATTTTGTAAATTGTTATGAACTGATTAAATGAAAAAAATGATTATTTTTATTATTTTATCTTAGTAATTGTTTGTGGTTTAAAAAAATTGTTTAATATTTATGTACAAAAAATATTTATAGATTAAAATAAAGTAATTTAATTAAATTAGAAAAAGAAAAAAAATGGAGTGCTAAGAGTGTTACCACTCCCTACCAAATGCTAAGATTAGGTGCTAAATAGTCAAAAATGATGTGACACTCTATAATCTAACGTGACAAGGTGTTAGGAATGTTACCACTCTTCTTAGTCTAATAGAAAAACTATTCGAAAAGTGCTTTTTAGTTTGAGGAATATTTTTTTTAACTTATTAGTTTTTCAAAAAAACAATAAGTCAATAAGCCTTTTGAAAAGCAATCGCAAACACCCCTTACTATATGTTGGTTTCACTTTAATAAATGACAAAATTACATAAATGGTCCTCGTGGTTGACAAAATCGACCAATTATGGTCCTTATGATGAATTCTTTACATAGATGGTCCCTTTGGTTTCAAAATCTTGCAAAGACAGTCCTTTTAACTAACGGTGTTATCTTTTTCAGTTAAGTTCTATGTGAATTGACATATTTGCCCTTCTTCCATAGGGACCATTTATGTAATTTGTTACTGCCATAGGGACCATTTATGTAATTTTCTATATTATTTATTATTGTTTTTGTTTAATTTAATTATATATTTAAGGATTTAGATTTTTTTTTAAGATTTGTTTAAATATATTGTTTAATGTTATATATATATATATATATATATATATATATATATATATA